ACACCAAACAGTAACTTTGGCCGAATGGAGATGTAGTTCGTGAAGTTGGGGAGGTTTTTCCGCAGCCCAATAGCTAAAGTTATGTTTATTAACACATCCGACGAGGTCGAAATGAGCTTCATCACTAATCCATAAATTACACAGCTCTACAACAAAAAAAATTTTTTTTGTTGCCCTGGATGTCTGCAAATTTTTATGGTTTCAAGTGCCCAGACTACGAATATATTCATGAAAGTTTTTTATGATTTTTACATATCTTATATATTGAACAATTATCGGCTTGTTAGTAATAAAATTTATTTTCCCAGTCATGATTAGACTTCTGCGCAACTTTTTCGCGCATACAAACATGGCGTGATCCCCACTCTCAGACCTCTTGCTCCGCAGAACAGCTGAGATCTCAGTTATTTGACAATATTGAAGTACTTACACGTGAATCTGGATAAGTTGTCATGTGTAAATATGTTGTTTCAATTACTGAATGTCCATTCTAATATATTTGTCTTGTTTTTTAAAACATGAGTTCGTCACAAAGAAAGTGTAAATATAGTAGTTGTTATATTTGCGGTGTTTATATAACAAAAACGTAAAAAAAGAAATATCACAGACTTTGTCGAGGAGACTTATACTGAATATTTCGATTTTAAAATGGACAAACTAGATAAATCATGCGTTCCTTATAAAGTTTGTAAGTCCTGTGTTGAGTCTTTACGGTTGTGGAAAAAAGGAGAACGTTCTGGATTAGACTTTGGTATTCCTATAATCTGGATGGAGAAGAAGCATTTCGATGTTTATAAATTGCGTAGTAGATGCTAAAGGTTTTAACTGCAATCAAACGTGGACATATCTCGTAAATCTGTATTTGTCTTCAATATTCAAAAAGAGAAATTTTCTCTGCTTCCATATGTATACAATTTCATCTTTTGTTTTAACATTTGTTGCAAAAAAAATTAAATTTATGTTTTATAATACTTTTTTAATAGCTTTAAATTGTGCGGTTTGGCTGTTCCACCTGTATACATGTTTGCCGAATTTGTTTATTTATATATCTATGTTATGAAATCGTCATGGAGAATACATAATATTAATATAACAACCAAATATACAAAATAATCAAAAGTGCTAAAATTGCTGACAAAATCAGATTTTTTATCGAGCTATACCAGACGGATTCGTGTGTTATTCGCATATTGCACTGTCTGGATACAAAAAGACATTGGACTGGATTACTATTATATGCTGTAGCAATATGTCTGGAACTGACAAACGAAAATTGGTCGTTATAGGAAAAAGTAATAAACCTCGATGTTTTAAGGACGTATGCCTTTCGAAATTTTTCGAAGTTGGCTTTTGAAGTGGGATAAAGAATTGGAATATAAAGAAAGAAAAATTGTGTTGCTTCTTGACAATTGTACGGCTCAGCCTCATATTAATTTAAAGTATATAAAGTTGGAATTTCTCCCACCTAATACGACATCATTAGTGCATCCAATGGATATGGGGGTAATAAAAAATTATATACACAAAAATTGGGCAACTACATAGTAGAACCCTAGAGAGATAAGTGGTAAAATTTCCATTTTGCAGGCAATACAGTTTACCGCTGACAGTTGGTGAGGGGTAAAAACGAGCATAATACAAACTGCTTTACAGTATGCGGTTTTAAAGGTTTAGGGCTACCAGAAACCTTAACCGTTGACAAGAATAATGGTGTGTTGTAAAAATCTGTTATAAATGGCGAAAATTTTCAACAATATTTCATGTAGAATATGAAGATTCAGTGGATGCTATTGTTGATGCTATGAAATCAAAGAATTTAACAGGTGAAGACGATGTTGATGATTTTCCATATATTCCTGTAACGAACAAGCAAGCAAAAAGATGTATAGTTGAGTTACAACGTTATTTTATGCAAGAACGTAATAGACCTATATCTGCACTGAGTATATGTGCGGATTTCGTAGAAGTGCAAAATCGTAAAAAGCAGACAACACAAAATAACTTTTTAAAAATATGAATACTTAATTGTTTTTTTTAGTGTTTATACTCTATTATTATTATTTTAACTTAAAATAGTCATTTTATATACAAGATGGTCCATTTAACTTGAGACAAGCGATTATCTAGAAAACGGTACATTTACATAAAAATGAATCAAATGAAAGTTGTTTAAACCGTATGACGATAACATTTTTGACCTTGACCTTATTTTCAATGTCATATGAAGGTCACTACCAATTTTTTAAATGGCACCCTATGTTTTTGATTGCAAAATCTGAATCTATCGATAAAAGTAAAATAATTAAAAAAAATTACCTTGTGGTTTGCCAGTACGACGGCGAAACATCTTTTGTAGACAAAATCTAAATAATTTTTTTATTCAAATAGTTTTAAATATTGTTTATTTATAAAGAAATGATTAAACTATACTATTAATTAACAACAAGTATAAAATTTATAATAAATGTTCAAATATTTCCCCACCCACTTCAATACCCAATTTATTAACCCATCTACTAAAACTTTCTTTACATCTTAAAAGGTTTTCCTGGCTACTATTTCTGCATGCATTTCTTATCCGCTCTTTCATGTTTTCTGGCGTAGTCCGTACTTCGCGATAAACATTATCCTTAAGGATGCCCAACAAAAAAAAATCAAGAGGTGTTAAATCACGTGATCTGGCAGGCCAGGAAATTGGACCTCCTCTTCCAATCCGTCGCCCAGCATAATCCCGATCTAAAGCTTCACGTGCAATATGTGAAAAATGTGCTGGACACCCAAAGTAACGTTGGTAAGACGTCATCTAAAAAATTTCGGCACTTCTGATCAATTTACCACACCAAACATTAACCGACCAAGGTCGTTGATGTTCTACATCACGCAACCATCTCGGATTTTCAATGCACCAATAGCGCATGTTATGTCTATTGACTTGTCCTTTGTTTGTAAAAGTAGACTCATCCGAGAATAGCATGTTACCAAAGAAATTGACGTCCAACCACATTCGTTCTTATGCCCAATGACAAAATATTAATCGATTTTCAAAATCACCTCCATAAAGCTGTTGATGCAATGAAATGTGGTATGGGTGATACTTCTTGTGCTTTAATATTCTTAAAATGCTGGTCTTCGATATTCCGGCGTAATTTGCAAGTCGTCGAGTGCTAACTTGAGGATTTACCTCAACGCTAGCTAATACCGCAATTTCCTTTTCTTGCGTAGTTACAGTTGCTCGCTGAGATTTTTTTCTTGATTCCACATTTCCAGTATTATTAAAATCATTCACAACTTTGTAAAATGTACTTCTCGAAGGCGTATTTCGATCAGGAAAACGTTCTCGATACAAAGCTATACTATCAGCAACTTTTCTGCCACTTTCTCCATAAATAAAAATCATTTCGACTTTTTCTGCCACACTTAGAGTATCCATGATTTAATGACTTAGTTTAAACACTTTGCCTTAATGTAAAACGATGAAATGAATTCAGAATTTGTTGCGAAGCAGTTTTTATGCAAATTTAGTTTTACCTGTTACATTTTAAAACAATTCAACCAATTAAGTCTCTGAAAGCGATATTCTGAAAATGCCGACATAAGCAGTTCCACGAACTCTTGTTTTTTATGGGAAAATGTCGGAACCTTTTAGACCTCTTTCCAAAGGTATTTCCGACGAGCCAGGTCACCCGATGTACCTTTTCTGGATTTTTTGTGTTGTTCAGCATTCTTAAATCGTATCCTAAACTAAAGACATTGTATCGAAGCGGGTAGGAAAATGTTTAAAAATAATAAATTAATAAATAAATAATAAATTATAAACGTTGGTTAATTGTTTCTGAAGAAGTTGCAATTCTTTTCAAAAGATGTTTTGCCGTTGTACCGGCAAAACCAAATTTTTTTTTCAAAAAAATATATAGGGTGCCATTTAAAGAATTGGTCGTGAACTTCATATAACCCTGAAAATAAGGTGGAGGTCAAAAAATTGTATCGTCATATGGTTTCCCCCTTCGCACAGAACAACTTTCATTTGATTCATTTTTATGTAAAATGAACCGTTTTCGAGATAGTCGCTTGTCTCGCGTTAAATGGACCACCTGTAGTTTGTTTTGTATGCTGCATATTTACGTTCATTTTATTAAAATACTTTAGGAAATTATTTTTTGTTTTAATTTATACGTAGCTTTATTGGGACAACCGCTTAATTGGGACAAAACGCCTCGGTCCCGATGTGTACCGATTAAGCGGTATCCACTGTATTTAAAAAAGATGTAATTGTGGTGTTAAATAAGAAATTACCAGAATTCAATCTAAATCTAACTAGTAAGAATACGTACGTGTTTTAGCCAAGGTATTGTTGCAAGCTAATGGGTAAAATTGAAGAAAGATAGAGTGAAAAATAAAAAAATGAAAAAATTTAAAAGTGAGTAAGTATTAAAGTGTTCTTCACTTTTGAAATATTTGTTATACTTTTCTTCTTTGATTTGTGCAGTGTCTGTGGCGATATAGTTATTAAAAGTAATCAAAGTGCTACAGTTAATAGTATACTTAAAAAGTATAAAAATGTAGTTTTATTTCTTACTTTAGGTGTTGATGCGACGATCTTCTTTGCGTTTGGTGTTGGCGGCATCTTTAATTTTTCGCCTTTTCTTTGTTGTAGTTCTTTTTAAGTACCCACACAAAATATAATAAGTAAATGTAAATTTTATAAATTTTATTCAATAAGTTGTCATTTCGATTTGCTAACTATGATGTTTATTAGTAACCTTAGCAACTTGATTGAAAGGTTAAAATACGAGAAAGTCTTGTGTTATTATGAATTATAAAAATAATTCCAAATAAAATGGGTGTTAAAAAAGTAAACATTTCTTTTTATTTCTACAAAGATAACATAATCCTCAATTTGATTACGTCCCCCAAACACAATTTTGGAGGTAATGGTGTCAGCGGAGTTTTGATATTGATTTTTGTGAACGTAAAGATGGCCGACATTCGCCAGTTTTCGACCTGGCGCAGGTTTCCCCCTAAACGTACAAGTTGGTAGTTGATTTTTAGTACTTCCTATGTGGTAAAATTTACTAAACAAACAACTCATTAGATTTGTGATGACAACCATAAAGATAATTACAAAAAGTGAATGTAAACTGAAAAAACGTTAATAATCTGAAAATTAAACCAAAAAAGTATGTAAACGATGGAAGATAGCGGTATTGATAGTGGTGATCATAACGGTGATAATTCAACGAATCAGAATGGAGAACGATTTCACGTAAGATATATTGAAATTAATCTGATTTTTTTAAGTTGTTTTGGATTCTTTTAAATAGTGAAAAGGTTGTCCTTATTATGTCGGACGACTTTGTCATTTTGTTGACATTTAACTTGACATTTAATAATAATCATTTATTGATTTGAAAACCGTAATATTACATAAACTAAAGTTTGTAATTATATAAATTTTTTAATTAATCCTAAGTAGTTAAATTAATTAACAAAATAAGTTATTCAAAACAAAACGGTACATTTCCCTGTGTTCAGGGTTGTTATGACTTACAATTAGATGCTGTGTTGTGCCAAAGTCCCTGTGTATGTAACAACAAGGTTAAGTTAATCTGGACAAGATATTGTAAACAAAACAATGTAATTTCAATTGCGCATAGAATCACTTGCCTTCGCACAAACCGATCACTCATCATAAAACCAAACCTCGAAATCAGCTAGTTTAGACAATTCGCCACACTATAAAAAACTGCGTTTGAATAACTGGAAATTATGATTTGGAATACTGAGAAAGTTATGGTCTTGGCTAACCTCATGAGCCTCTCTTCTAAGTTGTAAGCGTTCATACAGATACACCGTGACAACACTCTTCAGGATCCGATAAAACAACATAGTACTATGGAGGTGGCGACAATCTTTCACCTCTTCTGATACCATATATTAAACGGAAACAACAGTTCTTGATTTTCTTGAAGACAGAACAATCATTCACTCTAGAAACCTGTCATAAAATACATTGGCAAAGTTTAGATGCTGAGCACCAGCGACTCGCACTGCATTCGTCTGCAATCTCCATCCAAAACGCCTTGAACTATTGAACGCCGTGTTTAAGAGGCAAGAGGTATTATGTTCAAACCGAAGATCAGCGTCCTTGTGGAGGTCCAGATTACGCACACCAGTAGCCAACTGGTGACCAACTTCCCGGACCGCTTTAGGTCCGAACACAACACCCCGGCATATCATTGGATTTCAAGTGTAATAGACCAGAATAGCTTGTAATACGGGAAAGCACCGTATTAAATGTTTTCTTGGCGTTCACGACGTTTCATGGATGAAATGATAGGTATTCTTGGTTGTCGTCAGAATATAGATGGTAATAAGGACTAAATAGTAACGGTAACAAAATTGCCCCTTGAGAAACTTCACAGTGTGAGAGCATCACACACTGGGTTCTTCCCGTAATATACGATCTTAACAGCTCAAGTGCTCGTCCACCGACACCAAGAGGTAATAAATTTGCGAATAAAACTTCATGACACACAGTGTTTAATGCTCTGCTGTGGTCTAATAAAACCAACACAGTAACATTGCCATTCTCCGTTTCTTTGACGATGTGATCAACAACAGCAGTTAGGGCAGTAGCAAAACTGTGAAATTGGCGCTCTAAAAGCTTTTCAAAAACTTTACTTAGATAGGGCAATATACTGATCGGTCGTAAATCGTTAAGGGACTCAACTATTTTCTTCTTTGGTAACGGTTTTACTAGCGAATGTTTCCATGTGTCTAGAAAGGTACCAGATTCAATACAACTATTAAATAATATGGGCTATATACTCAATCAATGGATCAAAACAGTACTTCCAAAGATTGAGTCCCAATCCATCCAGTCCAACCACTTCACTAGATAGAGAAGTGAATGTTGCCAATACATCCACCTCCACCTTCGTGACAAGTTCAAAAGAAAATAAGAAAGCAAATATCAAGTCAAGCAGCATATTTTCGATCTTTAATCCTTGGACACAAGTGGCACCTTTCAGATTTTAACCTCTTGGCTAGTAATTCATCTTCCTCTAGCGAGTTTATAATTAATATTTTCACTATATTAATTAGCCCAATTTCGTGCTAATTGTACACCAAGTTTATTCAAAAATTGTTTTCGGTTTGGTCTGTCAGGTTTAGTCGATAAGTTAAAAACTATGCAAGCATTAATGCCAGCCTGATCAAGCATTCCACGTAAAAATCTTAATGGCTATCGTTTAGTTTTTCGCGCAACTGTATAATTATGCACCATTTGATCGAAGGTATCAACTGCCTTGTAATCAAATTGTCAAATTGTAAAACAGGATAATCTCCCGCTTTTTACTTTGTTCATCTATTGTTGCTGTTGAATAGACAGTCGAAACCAATACGATTTTGAACGTTTTGATGTAAAGGTTGGTATTCTTTGGTTGTGTGTAAAGGTTGTCTTTTCAGCAAAGGCGAATTGTGATGAAAACATTTCTTTCTTTCTATTGGGTAGAAAAGATGGCGGTATCTCCCTTTTATTGTTATGTAGAGTTCCTACTATGTATGTACTCAGTATGGTCAGTTATGATTTTTGACATGTCATTAGCGAGAGGTATAGACGTAAAATAATTGTCCATAGCAATGTTTGTAAAGAACAATTATACTTTTTTTTCAAAATATGAACAGCAACATGTTTATGGAACAAGGGGTATGGAAAATTATTATTTACTGCCACCAAAAACTCAGTATGCCAAAGTGCAAAAAAGTACTGTTCATTTTTGTGTTAAAGTATACAACCACATACCTAATAGTATAAAAATTAAATCGGCTATGTGTTTAAAAAATTATCTAAATCGTTATCTTTTGGAAAAAACTCTGTACACAGTTAACGAATTTTTTGCTGCAAATTTACCAATGATGTAATATTGTAAATTTTTCTTTTTGACGTTTTCTATGCTTTCTTGTATTTATAGAAATAAAGTTTATTATTATTATTATTATTTGTGCTATAGATTAGTTTTGCTAATTTTTTTACTATTTGAGTCGACACATGTTCCTTATTTGTTTGATCTTCCTTGCCAATGTAAGGTAGAGCGCTGAGCATGTAATATGTCAGCTGTCACACATAGTATTTATTTTCAAGCCATATTTGTTAGGCTTGGAAGCTATATAAACTCGAAAAGGGCAATTACCCCGAAAACCCAATAACTGTTCGTCTATTGTACAGTATGCATGTGGTGTGTAGCATTCTGTACTATTTTTTATAAGTGGTTTCCACAACTGTCTTATCGGTGCACATTTATTCTATCGATTTCGTATATTTTTGTCATCAAATCGTAGACAACTCAATAAAAAAGTAAACCATGGTTCACTCATTACATTATGCACTTATAAATTTTGAGAATTCATTGGAAAACATTTCCCGTACTCCGAAGTGTAAACAAAATTTTCCACGCTTCGAATTCATTAGTTACGTTTTTGGCTGGTCCTTGTAGTCCCGGTATTTTTACAACTATGTTGCGACTTTGAGTTTTAGTTGTTGGTGGTTCTACTGTAGACCATTTATACCCATTTTTACCCAATATTACATTTTTTTACCAGAATAATCGATGCTTTCTGAATCAGAAATATCGCTTTATGAAATTTCATTTTCATGTTCTGAAATAGGTTCTACGATCTCTTCATATTCACTACCCTCACCATCTGATTCTATTTCTTCATACTACTTCAATACTGCGGCTGATTTTGAAGCCGCAGCAAAATCTGTATATTTTACATGCATTCGCGTAGACATACTCTATAAAATGTATACATATTTATTTATAAGTATAGAGAAAATACATACATTACTACATACTGGTGTATTTAATTACCCCAATCCACTTGTAATTAAAAAACTATAACGATTATTTTTCTTTTGCAAATGGAATACACACGTGTTTAACCTCACATTAGTATACTAGTATACTAGAACCAGTGTTGCCGTTTTGTTACAATTGTACAGAATTCAGTACGATTTCATGGATAAAGTTCGTGAAAGTAGCAATCCAGTACAAAATTTTGTAATCGGTACAATTGTACTATTTTTAGGGAATGCAGTACCACTTTGGAATTTACCGTTTGTGATCTTTGAGCGTTTCAGCCGTGGAAAGCTTATTTCCTGCAAACCAATTAATTGAAAAGTCTTCGTGTCACCAATGAGCCCAGCGATAAACTAAGGTCTCCTATTTTCTTTCTCAATTCAGTACATTTTTTTCATGTTCTGTCACTGATCCGGAGCATAATACAGAAAAACTTTTATAACAAAAGTTGTAGCAAATTGTACCCTTACCCAACATTTTTGCTCCCAGATGCATCAATTTAGAGAATTTTTCAAAAATATGAAAATTAGAAGTGTGTTAAAAAAAATCGGTATCCGGAGCAAAATACAGAAAAACTTTTACTACCAAAGTTGTAGAAGATTGTACCCTTAACACAATGGTCTATAACATTTTTGCTCTCAGATGCATCTATGTGGAGAATTTTTCAAAAATATGAAAATTAGAAGAGTGTTAAAAGAAATCTGTATCCGGAGCATGATACAGAAAAACGTTTACAACAAAAGTTATAGCAAATTGTACCCTTAACACAATGGTCTGTAAAATTTTTTCTCCCAGATGCATCAACGTGGAGAATTTTTCAAAAATTTGAAAATTAGAAGAGTGTTAAAAAAATCGGTATCCGAGCATGATACAGAAAAACTTTTACAACAAAAGTTGTAGTAAATTGTATTCTTCACACAATGGTCTGCAACATTTTTTGCTCCCAGATGCATCAATGATGAGAATTTTTCAAAAATATGAAAATTAGAAGAGTGTTAAAAAAAAACGGTATCCGGATCATGACAAAGAAAAACTTTTACTACAAAAGTTGTAGCAAATTGTACCCTTACCACAATTGTCTGTAACATTTTTGCTCCCAGATGCGTCAATGTAGAGAATCTTTCAAAAATATGAAAATTAGAAGACTGTTAAAGAAAATATACTATTATCGGTATCTGGAGCAGTGTTGCCGTTTCGGTACAATTGTACTGAATTCAGTAGGATTTCATGGATAAAGTACGTGAAAGTAGCAATCCAGTACAAAATTTTGTAATCGGTACAATTGCACTAAAATCAGTACATTTTTAGGGAATGCACTACCACTTTTGAATTTACCGTTTGTGATCTTTGAGCGTTTCAGCCGTAGAAAGTTTATTTCCTGCAAAACAATTAATCAAAAATTTTCTATCTCAATTCAGTACTTTTTTTTCATGTTCAGTACGAATTTTGGTACATTTATTTTATTTCGGTGCGGCAACACTGACTAGAACGCTCTCTACTGACTAAAAGAAATAGTGACGTTGGCGACAATTTTCAGTTTTTCCAGGGTTAATAGCTTCAGGATTACTAACACGAGCAGGAATCTTATTGGCCGGAGTGCTGCGCACGTTAAGCCTACTCCACTCCATCCACAGTAATGCCTTATTTGTTTTAACCTGCTCACAACGCCATTCCATTTCATTTAAAAACATTTTTTTTATTCATAGGGAAGTGATACATCAAGTGCTGATAGTGCGAGATCTCCAATCAGACCTCCACCTGTTCCCAGTACACGACAACTGCAACGTAGATTAGAAAGCAGAATAGAACACGCCAAAAGATTACATCAAGAATATCATGCAACGCCCGGATTAATTCCTATTCAAAGATTACCGATTCCGGGGGCGAAAGATCATCAACCTTTAGTGCAATGGGATACTGATGATAGGTAATAATTAGAAATTTTATAACTTTATTTTTATGGAAAATGAGTTTCAACCGGCCCATTAGCTCAGTTGGTTAGAGCGTCGTGCTAATAACGCGAAGGTCGCGGGTTCGATCCCCCCATGGGCCAAATTTTTATTTTTTCTCACACATATAAAATTTTTAATCGAACATTTTTAATTTTAGTGAAGAAGACATTGTAAATTTCTTTCCTTTATCTCGAAAAGAATCAAGGGTCCACCATGAATTGACAGACACTTTTAGCATAGAAGAAATGAGCATATCCGGTGATGAAGATGACGAGGAGGACCTCCATTTGGTACCACCTCAGACCATCTATAGAAAATTGACTTGTTGTCCGTTTTCGAAATGCGTTATTCTTTAAGAGGAAGAGGTGGATTCAAATTATTTAAAAAAAGATCATCTAAATTTCCGATTAGATCTTACTAATTTAAATTTTTCGTGCTAATTGTCTTCCTAATTTCAAAAAGAAATATGTTAATTTATTATAACGTAACGGAACAACGTCATATTATGTTTGGTCAATTAAATTTCAAAAAGGCCCGTATTTTTTCATATCAAAATATTCTCCATTTTTCTGGAAAATACCTCAGTGAGATTCGGCACAGTTAGATACAGATTTTAATACAGATTTTCCAATTTTAACTATTAAAAATATTTTATAAATAAATATATAAACTACAAATTATGCCAAATTTATGATCATAATGATAGGATTTATGATAGAGTGAACGCTTTTAGGTGGCGAATATTGTATTAAAATAAACTGAATGCTGTATGTATATTTGCAAGGGCGTTTAAAAATATATAACTGATTTTCCAACAGGGACAGATTGTTAGTTTGGAGGCATTGGGATAAAAATATTCGGGTGTTACGTAATTAATAAAACTTTCTTTAAGTGACATTTTAAAATTATACAAGAAATGAAGGGAAGATGATTTTCTGAGAAGGTACATGATAGTCTGATAGTATGGACGAAAATTTCAGATTGCTACTTGAACACATCAGTTAGTTACGAATTTTTGAACGTCATGGAATGTTATCGTTTTTCCAATCATTTCTGATAAAGTTAACAAATTCATGAAATATGAGTTATTTGAGACACTTTTTGTTCAATGAACATTGAGATAATGACAAAACATAATATATCTGATTGTAAACTTAACTTACCATCAGCATTTGCCCGATTTAAATCACTTAATTTAAAACACGATTTTAATCAATGATAATTTTCTTTATTTAAAAATTAGCAAACCAGGCAACTAAAAACTAAGACAAACAAAAACAATATATAAACATAAACCAAAAAAAAACAATACTTGGAATAATTAAATATCTTTTTATATAAAAATACTAATCTGCTGGCTTTTTCTACTCCTAATTTGCTGAGCACGGTGGAATGGGCAACCCCAAATGTTGAGAACACCTTCTCTACTGAAGCTGAAAGCAAGCAGCATATGAAAATTGTTTTAAAGTTGGGAGAATTTTCTCAATAACAGGAACGTTTTCGGAATTCCACCACTACACTGCTGTAATATTGGATATAACTTCCTCGGGAAAAATAATTGCAGAAAATGGTTCCATTTTCGCTTCTAGCTTAACTATTAATAGTAGTAGGTAATCCAGTACTTGCGTACATATCCTAATTGTGTTCATAGTTTCGTCTTTCTCTTCCATCGTCAGTTCATATTTTGTTTTACTTTCATCTAAAATATATGACATTAAATGATAGGGTGTAAGTGCTTGTTTGTAGCGTTTCTGATATACCTGTATTTAACACAGTGATAATTAAATAAAGAAGCACTTTTTCAAGTCCCACAGATATTGGCTTTAAGATATTAAACCCAGTAAACAAGGAACATCTGTGAAACATTTCAATTTTAATGTACAGTGAATTAAATGAAACATCTTAGAACTACGTTTCATATACGTGACAGATACGATTTTTACGAAACGTATCTAAAGATATGTATCAAATACATTTCAGTAGGAATATTTATGAAATATCATTAAAATATGTTGCAGAAACATTTTGTTTGAAACATTTCTTTACAAATGTGTCTGAAACATGTCTGGAATGTCTTCATCGCGGTGACGCGGTCAACGTCTTGTCACGTCTTGTTCTATTCGGTGTTTTGTTCTGTTCTCAGTTCGAATAGTTCCAATACTGGTTTAGAATGGCACCAGTTTTGTATAAGTTTTTCTAACATGTCATGTTTCAATAATATGTATCAGAAATGTTTCTGAAACGCAAATTTGTTTACTGGGAAGTAATCTTCAGTAGATCATTTCTGCCAATATTTTCTTCACGTACTTTTTTAACACCTTTTCCCATTGACTTTCATTTTCATTTCATCATTTTCTGTTCCACCTCGCATCGCTTGGCAGGATTAAACCATTTCCATCGGCTTACATATACCTACAGTATGCAAACTTCGTTTGGACTATTGTTTGCCTCTTCTTCTTTATAGAAGATGGAGATTGCATGACCTGTATCATGAATACTGAATTCATAATAACATAATTTCATGAGATTATGCAATTCTTGCATTGGCATAAAAAGTGGAGATAAGGTCTGCATATTATAATCAAATACGACACCTAATCTATTTCCAAATCACTGTTACTTCTGCAATTTGGTATATTATCTGTCTCTTCTGCACTGCACCACACTAGTAGTTCCGCCGCAGCTACCTTTTTTGCTGTTTTATTGAGAGTAGTGAACTTGATTTTTGAATGCAACTAGCCAATATTTTCTATGAAATATTTCAAGTAAAACTCATTTTAAGACATTTCTTAGGGCGGGGTATTTTTCAATAAAAAGTTGATGCATTTTGAATATGTACTGTTGTAATTTGCTATTTTCACAATGACTTCAGGCTCTAGCAAACTTTTTTGGTAATCTAATAGTCTGTGTATTACGACAGCAACGAAGTGAAAATAGGATCGCTAAAATGTTACATTATACACTTTGTTTCTACTCCAATTAATGTTCTATTGAAGGAAAACAACTAGTTATGCAATTTGTTGCACAGCATATAAATTAGTATGTTCAGTCAGCAATGCAAGAAATTCTTCAGAAAAAAATAAATCCACCAGTGTTTGGACTGTAAGGTTTATCATATTCAATTTTAAACCAATATTATCTTGGAAAATAAATAGTTCAGAATTTTGACAATTTTCTGAATGATAGTTTTGAGAAATTATTAAAAATCTCTGTCTACGTAAATAGGTATAAATCTTCTTTTTGACTAGTTCCACTTCAATGTTTTAAATAATTAAAAGATTTGCGATTTCAGATTTGGGTTGTGTTAAAAGAGGAGACAATTTTAAATGGTAGGCCAAAAATAAAGAGAAAACACGCAAATAAGCTTATCCATGTGTTCTAAACAAAACATACCGATCCTGTTTGTGAAAAAATTTGTGAAATCTAGTAATGAACAATAAATGATTAAGTAAAGTAAAACTTATGGAAGGAAAATTATGGAGATTTTGTTCGATTTCGCCAATTAAGAGTGTTCAATCTGTATTTATAACAACACATCTACAATTACTTTATACAATGTGTTCTATAAAATAAAATCTCTGATTTTTGAAAAATATTTTTATCTACTATAATATTATCTTTATGTCGTGTATGCACGAAAGTTAAAAATGGTTAAAAATTATGACATTTTCATGTCAAAACTTAGAGCAACCCAATGAAAGCTAAAATTTTAACTTATAATGAGAACTTATAATCAACTCTTTATTTATGTTACTCTTTTTGTTACAATTACAATTAGAAGGTTATATATCGGCTAAACCAGTCCAATTCAAACCTAATTTTTAATAAACAATTAAAAACTGATATCTAAATAAATATGAATAAATGGAGCATAATTTTTTGCAATACAATTATCTACAAACAAAATTGTGCAAAACGTGCATTCTTAAACTATATCAGAATAATATTCTGATATAGTTAAATGAGATATAATTATAATAATATAATAAATGGGACATATTTCCGGTACTATAACTTCCAAATTATAAGCGGTTTGTAGGCATTTAATTATAGGCATTTTAGTTACAATTATAGAATTAAAATTTATTTTATGTACTTCTAATATAAATTATTTTGTTCTAAAAGTCAAAAGGTTTTTTAGATAGAACAAAGTAAGAAAAATGGCACCGCATGATTGTTTATTTGCCCTTTCAGGCTTATTTCAAAAGACAATTTAGGATAAATAGTTATTTATAAAAATAACTAAGGAAAAAATAATTTTTTTTTTCATTTAAAAAAGAACCGGCGCGCGTCTGTACAAATTTGTCGTTTAAAATTTGTTCAATCATATCAAACGTTTTGACTTCGTGCGCATTTTTATCTGTTACAGCTAAAGTTTTAGTGGCAATTATTAACATCATTTGCGTTCTTAATATAAGTGCTTCTCTAGAGATGTCTTTCCTATAGAAGGAGTTACATAGTTTTGTCTCCTATTTAATTTTCCTACCTTATACCATCGTACAAATAAAGAAAAATCGGAATTAAATAGGAATCAAAATTACATTAAAGTACTACAGAATGTTTCAGTATTTGCCCAGACGATACAACCGACTGTATTCCTAAAACTATTTATTTCTTCATTTAGTTATATTTTTATTTTCCCAAAACATAAAAATTAACACTACACAATGAAAAGAAGGGCTAAACTAAAAACAACTTATTGTAAATTACAATAATCAAATCGCTATAAAGGATTCCACAGGAAACCACATTCCTCTACTAAATAGAAAAGAACTTCATATGCTGAGGATAATAACCATAAATCTAAGAAATCGAAACTTTGGAAAGTTTATTACACTACTGAATTTTGCTGCTGGAAAAGATCAGCTTCCATCTAATGTCCATTTAGTTCCTCATAGTTGCAGATAAGTAACTAAATACCTTGTTCTATTATATTTATAATAGGTATGTAGTGCTTTCTAAAAAAATGTTTTGGCTGTTTCTTTTCATTTCTCTTCAATATTCTTTTATTTCTTAAATAATATTGTTATGTATTGTTAAATAAACTGTGCGACAGAGCATGCATATAAATCAACATTCATATCAAACCTGTTCTGCCCGAAAAACTAACAAATCCTAAGTTTGCAGTTAAACACTTTATAAACTATAATGGGCAATTTAAATACAGTAGAAACAGCACAAACGTTGCTTAATTTATGCAAAGGCAAAACGAAATGCATCTACTTTTCGGATTAGCAGAAATCTGTCCTACTTCATTTTTTTTCTTTTTCTTTCCCGAACAAACTCTGTTGTAACTGTGGGGATAGAAATCCATCCTGAGGGATTGTTAGCGTTAACCTGACCCGACGCGCGATTCTGCTGTCATTGTAGGACGGGTTCGTGAAGGGGAGGAATTTGATAGGAAAAGATGTATGGTCAACAAAGTAATCACAAGAAGAAGATAGTAAGAATACCACGAAGGAAATTGATCGGACAAAAATTGGTTAGAAAGAAGAACGATGAGGAGGTAGTGAGAAGATATGCAAAGATACATAAGGTACTGAATAGAGAGTATCAATGATTTCCAGAAAATTTTCAAAGGCATTTGAAGAATTTGCAACGATTTCTAATAAAATTCATAAAATGCTTTAAGACATAACTACGGATTTCAAGAATTTAATGCGATTTCCAACGTTATTTCAGAGAGTCTCAGATATCTTTACAGATTTTCAGGTATTTTAAAAGATTCCTCAAAAAAATTTTCATGGATTTTTAAGCTTATCTAATATTCTCCAAATAAATATATCTAGAAATTTATCATTATTTCCAGAAGCCTTGAAAGTTCTAAGGTTATCTAAATATTTCATGGTTGTTTTTCCAATGTTATTCAAGGACTTTCCCAATGTTAGTCTTCTTTTCTGACTTTTATGATCAATCAAACTTTCAAACTGATTCTCCGATGTAAGTAAGTCCTACAAGAATGATATTTAATGAGCAAAATCTAATTTCAGATTCTACCAAATCATTCTCATTAATTGATTCTACGTTAGAAAGTAATTCTCTAATGTCTATTTCGGCTAAATCCTCAAACCCTCTCGTCTTACGGTATATACTATTTCAATTATCGGATAATATTCGTAATATAATGGTAATTTAGAATTCTCGAATACAGCAGTATTATTACATTACAGCTGGTAACATTAATCGTCGGCAGACATTAAAGTTGATTTATTAATCTCGCTGCATGACAGTACAACATAATTAAAAATTTTAATGATTAAAATATTATAAACATGATTAAAATG